GAAAGATATGTATTGTTTACAGATTGGGGAAACTTAATATTGTCAAGACAGCAATATTCCCTAGGCAAGCTATAGATTCAATGCAATCTCTAACAAAATCCTAACGACTTTTTTGGTATACGTCAAAAAGCTGACTCTAAAAGTCATATGGGCTGGCTATGGTGGTTCAAACCTGTAATCCCGGTACTTTGGAAGACTGAGGTAGGAGGATTACTTGTGCCTAGGAGTTCAGGACTGGCGGATTGCCTGAGCCCATGAGGTCGAGGCTGCGGTGAGCCGTGATCATCTCTAGCCTGGGCAACAGAGTGAGACCCTGAGGCAAAAAAATATACCAAAATAAAAATAAATAAAAATAATATGGAATGAAAAACGACATAGCTACAGTAATCAAAACACTGTAGTACTTGATAAGAGATAGGGGTCTAGCTTCATTCTTCTGCATATAGAATCCAAGTTTCCCAGTACAACTCAAAATGGATTATAAACTTAAATATAACTATGAAACTACTAGAAAAAGAGGAAAAAAACCATTCAGGACATTGGTCTGAGCAAAGATTTTTATGGATAAGACCTCAAAAGCACAGGCAACAAAAGCAAAAATAAACAAATGAGATTATATAAAACTAAAAACCTTCACAGAAAAGAAAACAGTAAGAGCGTGAAGAGACAATCTGCAGAATAGGAGAAAATACTTGCAAACAATTCATCTGACAAGAAATTAACATACAGTCATGTGTTGCTTAACAGTAGGGATACATTCTGAGAAATGTGTCGGTAGGTGATATTTTCATTGTAAGAACATCAAAAAGTATACTTACACAAACCTAGAATGTGTAGCCTACTATACAAGGAACTCACAACTCAATAGCAGAAATACAAATAATCCAATTTAAAAATCGGCGAATAATCTGAATAGACATTTCTTTAGAAAAGACAAAATGTGTGAAAAAATGTTTATCATTACTAATCATCAGGGAAAATAAATATGTGATTATCATCACTAATCATCAGGGAAATGCCAATCAAAACCACAATGAGATATCACCTCACCCCAGTTAGAACAGCTATTTTCATTATAAAATATAAACAAATACAAAAAATAACAAATGCTGGAGAGGATGCAGAGAAGAGGGAACTCCATACACTGTTGGTGGGAATGTAAATTAGTACAGCCACTATGAGCTTTCTCAAAAATTTAAAAATAGAACTACCATTCGATCCAGCAATCCCACAACTGGGTATATATCCAAAGAAAAAGAAATCAGTATATGGAAGAGATATCTACACTTCCATGTTTATAGCAGCACTACTCACAGTGGACAACATATGGAATCAACCTAAGTGTCCATCAACAGATGAATGGATAAAGAAAATTATACATATATTGAACACTATTCAGCCATAAATAAATAAAATCCTGTCATCCATGAGTGAAATAAGCCAGGAACAGAAAGATAACACTGCATGTTCTCACTTATATGTGGAAGCTAAAAAAGCTGATCTCATAAAAGTAGAGAGTAGAACAGGGAAGGGGGAGAGAGGGATAGGGAGAGGTTGGTTAACAGATACAGAATTACAGTGAGATAAGAGGAATAAGTTTTAATGTGCTATAGCACTGCAGGATGCTATAGTTAACAATAATTTATTATATATTTTAAAATAGGTAGAAGAGGATTTTGAATGTTCCCAAAACAACAATAAATATTTGAGATGACAGATAATGATAATCACTATGATTTGATCATTACAGATTGTATACATAAATCTAAGTATCACACTGTACCTTACAAATATGTACAATCATTTTGTGCCAATTAAAAATTTTAGAGCCAGGCTCGGTGGCTCAGCCTGTAATCCCAGCACTTTGGGAGGCTGAGGTGAGTGGATTGCCTGAGCCCATGGGTTCGAGACCTGCCTGGGCAACCTGGCGAGACCCCGTCCTTACAATAAATCAAAAATTAGCCGGGCGTGGAAGCGCGCGCCTGTAGTTCCAGCTATTTGGAAGGCTGAGAGAAGGATAGCCAGAGCCCAGCAGGTCGAGGCTGCGGTGGCCGGGAGCGGCCACTGCACTCCAGTCTGGGTGACAGAGTGAGACTCTAACTCAAAAAAAAAAAAAAAAAAATTAAAAATCATTGCAGTACTGGTACAAGGACAGACACAGAGACAAATGGAATAAAACTGAAAGCCCAGAAATAAACCCACATAACCATGGCCAATTGTGACAAGGGTATCAGGTCAATTCAATGGGAAAAGAACAGACTCTTCAACGAATGGTTTTGGGACAACTGGATTTCCAAATGCAAAAGAATGAAGTTGGACCCCTCCCTTATACCATATATGAAAATTAACTGAACGTGGAACAATAACCTAAACACAAGTTAAAACTCTTAGAAGAATACACAGGGATAAATCTCTTTGTGCCCTTGAATTTAGCAACCAATTCTTAGATATGACACCAAAAGCACCAGCAACAAAAGAAAGAAATAGATGAATTGGGCTTCATTGAAATTAAAAACTTTTGTGCATCAAAGGGTAAGATTAATAGTGGAAAAAAGTTACAAAATAAGAGAAAAATATTTGTAAATTGTGCAACTAATAAGGAGCTTGTATCCAGAATATATATATTTCTATGATTCCTACACTACAACAACAAAAAATCAGGCAAGCTAACTAAAAAAATGGGCAAAGAACCTGAATATACATTACTCCAAAGAAGATATGCAAATAGCCAATAAACACATGAAAAAATGTTCAGCATTATATTAGGTAAATACAAATTAAAGGCCAGGTTCGGTGGCTCAGCCTGTAATCCCCAGCACTTTGAGAGGCCAAGGCAAGAGGACTGCCCGAGCCTGTAGGTTCGAGGTCAGCCCGGGCAAGTTGGCGAGACCTTGTCTCTACAATAAATCAAAAATTAACTGGGGGTGGTAGTGCATGCCTGTAGTTCTGGCTACTTGGAAGGCTGAGGCGGAAGGATCACCAGAGCCCAGCAGGGTGGCCCTGAGCTTGCCACTGCAATCCAGCCTGGGCGACGAGTGAGATTACAGCTAAAAAAAAAAATGCAAATTAAAACTACAATAAGATACTATTTCACACCTACTAAGATGACTATTTTAAAAATAATAGAAAATAACAAGTGTTGGTAAGAATGTGATTAAACCAAAACCCTCATATGTTGCTGATGGGAATGTAAAATGGTGTATTCATTGTGGAAAACAGTTTGGCAATTCCTTAAAAAAGCCACATGGTCCAGCAATTGAACTTCAAGGTATATACTCAAAAGAATTGAAATCAGGGAATCAAGTAGATACCCATACTCAAATGTTCTTTGCAGCAATATTCATAATAGCCAAGAGATGGAAACAATATAAGTGGCCATCAAAAGATGACACCCCAGGAATAATCTGGGAGATGACTCTTCTTTCCACAATTCCCACCAAACGAGAGACCATCCACTTCTTGCTTTGACACAAATACATACACACCCTACAGTCACCTTTCTCTTTAGCTGATGTTGGAAAATTCCATAGCCATCAACGAATAAGTTTGTGCTCCACAGGACATAATGAGACACAAAATATTTCCAAAGGGTCTGATCTGATTTTATTTTGAAGATCTCCAACATTAAGAGCAGTACCCACAGCTGGTATTACGGGCTAGAGCAGTTCTATGAATTAAAAAATAAGTTATAACAAACTTCAAAAATCATCTAACTTGAAGCTGCACATTGCAAAAACCTATTCTGCCTTTTTATCTTAATGCTCAAATGCAGGCTATTTTCCTTGATTTTGACTCCTAGACATATGAAAAATCGGTTCACACCTGACTTCAATAGAAATTAAATGAAGGATACCTGTTAAACTAGGGATACATTATGTATACCATGTTGAGATTTACCAGTTTAGGTCTTCCCCCAAATGCATAAAAAGTTATCAGAGAATAGGGAAGTCAACAGAAAGACCAGCATTTATACACTACTTCCCAATACTGGCCAGTAAATTAACAGTCAAGGAGGCAGGAGGCAGGAGAGGCAGAGGTGACCCCAGACTCCAAACTACACTCTGTTATTCTATGCCACAAACCCCAGCCCCAAATCTCACTTTTGTTAAGTATAAACAGGACAAACTGAGGTGGTATAGACAATATGGCTTCAGCTCCATAAACTATGCAAATAAATAGAATAGTGAGATTATGGAAATTATATCTTCCTAACCACACACTCCTACAGGACTTTGGTATCCTATGACTGTGTCATACATAGAGCTGAGTTCTTACCAAAAAGCATCAGCACAAACAAGGGGCTACCACAAAGGACAGGTACAAATCACTAAGTCCAAAGCACCTGGACAGAAAACAAAAGCAAGGAGAGTCAGCAATCAATAAGATCGGACAAATGAAATAATCTATGAAGCAGTTTCTGTAGGTGATCTCCTTCTCTGAGGCCCAGGGCTGCAGGAGGAGGGAATCTCAGATGAAGCAGTAAATCTAGTATCTCTGGATAGGGAAGGAGCAGTTGAGAGCACAGTGGATTAGGTTCCTTCCAAACTATCCTTTCTGCACAGTTGTCCAAGACTTTGCTGGAAGGGATGAGAACCAGGAATTCTCTTGTGGGTTAGAAAGCTTCAAAGCATCCTGATGAGACATTTTATGTGAAAAGCTGAGCACAAGTTCTGGGACTGAGACTAGAATGAAGGCATCTGTGTTCCCTTCTTTGTGAGCTGCCTCCTCACCCTCTTCCCCAGAGCTGCCCAGATAGGGCTTCATTCCTTGCTTGAAGCCCTATCAGCAGGAACTTACAAACAGCTAGTAGCACAGTCCTGTCTTCTTGCACACAGAGTGATCCAACATCTTGAACATGCTGAAACTAAAGAATCTTTCAATGTGAACTCATTTTGTATCCCCCTATTGACACACAGAGACAGACCATGTTCTTCACCATCTTCATGTTGTCCGTGCTTTATTTCTCTGAACTAGATTACAACTGAAGAACTAGAACAATGTTTTCCACCAGTTTTAGCATGAAACTTTATTAACATGTAAGTGAAATTCCAAAGTAATACATTTATAACAATATAAAACACAGAGGTATAGCTTATTCAAGATAAATAGGTTCATTATCAAGTCACATAGCAGAAATACTAAAAATATCTCAATTTATATTATATAGCACAGTAAAAATTTACAAATGTTCAAGATCTCAAAATCAATTGGTATTCACAAAATTGTCTCCTTCAATCAACACAGAGAATATAAGTACTGAGTTTATAATTATTTATAATAATAATATGCATTGGTTTCATACTGCAACTCCAGAAAACTATTTTAGGCTTTATAAGAACAGATGGCAGCCCAGAGTTTGAATATTAATCGTATGACTTTATCTCTCACCTCAGGATCACTGTGGTCTGCTAAGTATTGGAGTTTCTGACCAAACTTTTTTGTTTCCTGGAATAGGGAAAAATTCACATTTACTGAACTCTTCCTTGGTAAATAGCTTCACCCTTTTTTTAAATTGGAAATTTATATTCTTATTAAAGGATGCTACTAGTGATGACAGAACTGTGGCACTGATCAGTTCCCTTATATTGGTTTGATTTCTAGACAAGCACAAAAACACTTTTAAAACATAAACCTTGATTTTGACATTACCCTTGCTTAACAAGGTGAGGAAATCTGGAACGTAATTGGTAATCATGTGGTGACCCTTGAATTCTATACTCAGATGTGCTAGTAATTTTAGTCCAGCCAGTTGCACAGAAAAAATTAAGGGGTAAGAGATTATACCCTTACAAACTTTATGTATGTATGACTCTCCTGCTTTCAGTTCTTCAGAAGATTCAAAGTTGGCATCCGCCATATTTAAAGCTCTAGGGTACTCTTTACCATTGGGATTATTTATCAAGTATTCAATCATGAAAGTAATACTTACATCATGAATTATATCTTGAGTAAATGGATAAGCAGGAGTGATGCCCATTATCATTGTAGCTATTTCATGAATGAAAGGATCACTGGTTAGCTTAAGCAGGGCAACAAGTTTATCAAACTCTTTAGGCTCTAGACTAAAGGCTTGTGATTTGCAGCGGCAGGCCCTTGGTCTAGGCCCATACTTTGCCCTTCGCCTAACCTCTTCTTTAATCTCAGCTAAGGTCTGGAAGTAAGGCCCATTATAAGGTGGGATCTTGGTCAGAGGTCGAATCCCCAGAGGAGTTTCAATCAAGGTCTCAAACAAGGTCCAGTTCCCTTCTGGAGACAAGGATAGATCCTCTTCCTCAATTGGGACTAGGACAATATACTTGACCCTTTAGCACACTATTGCCTTTTGTTTTATAGTATGTATGGGTTTGACTGTGGGCTTGGGCTTTTTGGGGATCTTAGGTAGAGGTTCATAAACTTGAAGAGGAGTCTCTTCTTCAGGCCAGAACCAGGACCCTAAACTAGGCCCTTCTCCAGTCCAGAACCAGGAGCAGACATTTTCCTCATCCTCATCACTACATTTGATCCCAATATCAGCTTTGTCCCCAGTCCCAGCCTTGACACAGGACCTGATACTTGCCGCACTGCCAGCACCATCTTTGAGTTTAGACTTGGTTGGGTTACCGACCCTAGACACAGGCGTGACCTTTGACTTGGCTTGGGACACTATACCAGGTTCTGCCAGGGATTTTGCCTTAGTCTCAACCATAATTCTAGTCTTAGTAATATCTTCCATCTTGCTTACTTCCCTTGTCACAGCCACAGCCTCATTGTAGGTCATTGTCTGTATCCTGGCCACTGCTCCATCGTCAGCCTTGGCCTGGGTGCTTGATTCTGTTTTTGGTTCTGCCTCAGCCACTGCCTTGGCCTGGGTCTTAGTCTTCACTTTAGCATTGGCATAGCTACTAATTCCAGCTTTTGCATCAGCCCCAGTCTCTCCTCTATCCCTTGCCCCAGCCCTGGGGCCAACCATGGTCCAAGTTTAAGGCAAGGCCAAGTTATATAATCTTACTCCTGACTCCTATCTCAGCCTTGACCCAAGGTCTGTCTCAGGTTGGTGTTTTCATACAAAGTCCAATAGCCACTCAGTCCCCTGTCCAACTATAGACTCTGCCAGTGATATAGACAATATGCAGAGGAAGCTCACTCAAGGTAGGGAAGGATGGCTGTGCCTGGGCGTAGCCCTGTGAAGGATGGTGGTCTTCAGCCACTCCAAGGCCAACAGATCTGCCACTCAAGTTGGACCTAGTGAAGGAGAAAGGAAATGGGGCTTTGAGTCTCTTCTAATTTTTTATCCTCATGCTGATAATCAGCACAGAGAGATAGAAGAGTATATTTAGTTCTAGGTGAGAGATGTAGATAATTAACGAACTCTTCATTTCATCCACTCCCTACACCTCCAAGTGCTACCAATCTCCTTTCCAGGCACCAAACAGGAACATAGCATGTAGGAAAACTGGATAAGAGTGAGAGAAGCTGAGAAATCCCCTACTCTGGTCCTTGACTCCTGCTGGAGCCAAGCAGATCTCCACTGTCCCATCCTACAAGTCTACCCAGGCAGTCCCTACACTCATACCAGCCTGCACTGATCTGGAGTAATTTTCTCCTCCTTTCCTTGCTTCCAATGGTGACAAGCCCTACAGCAGACCTACAGGCAGACCTATGGATAAATAAACGAACAGGAGGATATGAAAACTGATCTCTTGGTGGCTAGATCTTGGCCACTGGCCCCTATACTTTCCTTCCCAGATACAGTTTGTCTAGTGTTTTCTTCCTCCTGGTTCCCTTCCTCCTACCATTGTTCTGTGTCAGGGTTGCTCCTTTTCCTCTCTATTGCCCACCATTTTCCTTTTCAGTGATTGTCGTGGCACTTCCCTAGTTTAGAATTACACCAGGGTGAAGCATGAGAGCAGGACAAGCAAGTGGAGAGTGAGAAAGGCAGGTCTTAGCATTCTGTACCCCCAAAGCTTATCAAAATTATCAGCAGGGATTAGGGGGCAGGTAGGGATTATTAATAAACTAACAAAACAAAAGAGATAGAATTCTTTAGTCTCAGTCACCCCCCCCCCCCCCCCCCCCCCCGCCCCCAGTCCCTGTAATCTTATACCAACTTTAACAGATATAGGGCAATTTTCTGTTCCTCATTATTTCCTAACATCAAGTTGGGACATTTTACAAACCTGCACAACTGATAATTCCACAGACCTCCAGACAGATCTACCTACAGAGATTCACTGACACAGTGACCAATAAATGGAGACTCAGGAGACAGTAGAGACTGAGTCTTTGGTAGACACCAGCACCTAGGGCACAGATCCTTTCTGGATACAGGTACCTGTCTGGCAAACATTCTTTACCCTTTCTTCCTCTACTCCTAAATCCCCAAGGCCCTTTGCTCCAGTCCCAAAGTCCGGCAATTCCCATACAAAGGTAATCCAAAAACCCCTACAAAGTAGTGGTAGTGTTAGTAGGGATGAAATGCCCAGATAAACCACAGAGACTGGAGAAAACAATGAAAAGTATTATTTCTAAATTCCATCTAGATTCTTGTTTTCTACCTCTCCCCAAAGCCCATCATTTTCTACAATATAATGGGGGTAAGGGAGAACATGTTAGGAAATATGGCAGAGAGGAAATCTGGAGGTCTCCTAAGACCCCTACCTACTCTAGTCTTAGCCATCTACCACCTCCAAGCACTGCCCACTTTACAGAAACTAGGCCTATTTCTTTTTCTTCTCCCCTTCCCTTGAGGTCTGCTGCTCCATACAGATCTTTACTGAAACATGGAATATCACAAACTTAGGAACAGATCTACACATATAAATACATGATACACACCCAAAGACCAAATGAAAAGACACTGGGAGAGACGTGGTTATTAACAGCCAGACCAGAATACAGGACACGAGACCCTTTTCGAATCCGGGGACTTGATAATCAAACATTCACAACGTCATTCTACACACACTCTCTCTCTTTCTCAGGACTCCCAGACACGGTCCTCACCAATAGAGGCAACCCTTCTTCCTCTTAAATAGTTCACCATTTCCGGATATAAGTCACTAATACACCCTTTTCCCTTCCCAAAAGTGGGCGGAGGTGAGCCGTGTCTGGAAATCAAGCTAGCAAGAGACAGATCATTTTTTAAAATTGTTGTGTGCCACTCAAATTACCCATCTCTCTCTCTCCCTCTCACCGCCAGTCACCCACGACCAGGTCGCGTATCCCGCGTTCATCTCCGATAGGCACATACACAACCCCAAGCGATGCCCGCCATCTCACTGACCTGCTCTGTTAGGATCACAAACAGTTTTCTCATATCCTTGCCTCAAGGGGCGCCGTGCCATACAGGAGGGACGGACAGTCAGATGAGCATAAGGACTTCAGGCAATGGCGGCGACCGTGTTTGGATGTCGGCCCGGCACCTGGAATTTAGGACTAGCTACCTGCTGTATCAGATTAAGGGCGGTGATTGGCAAACTACTGTCACTTGTTGGTATTTCCCTTCTCTTTCCTGTTCCCAGGTCTCCTCGGAAACCCGCGAATAGTGGACAATTAATATCTATCTACCTTTTCCTCTGCAGGCTAGGCTCCGCCACGTCCCCATTGCCCAAATCTGCAGCGTAGCTTAAGGGGATCTGGTTTCTGGAAGCGGAGTGATACGAAGCTTGCCTAGCACCGCTTCTCTTTCTGTCACTGTGCTCCGTGCTGCTCTTTCTGTTTCAGATACTGAAATGCGCAGGGGCAGGATCTGGATATAGGAAAACAGCGTCCGACCCGGAGAAACAAACAAATACGAGTGTCTCGGTATTCTTTCTCATCTTGTAGGACTTCTTCCCAGAAAGCCTACCGTTTTTTCTGAACTGAAATGCACACGGTTTCGAACTGTGGCGGCCGGAAATCAGTTCTGGCCTGCAAAGTGAACGGATACCATGGTGACCAAAGTTTACAAGTCCATCCCTCCAAATTCCCAGGGTCGCGGAAATGGGCGGGCTGGGGGAGTGGCCCAAGGAAGAAACTTGGCAAAGAGGTTCTAGAATGAGAAAAAAGGATACATTTAAATCTATTCCACAAACTTCGTGGTCCCTCTATGACAGAAGCCCCGCCGAGTCGCTCCTGCTAGCTGTCTCTCCTAACATTTAATTTTGTATACGAAATGGACCAGGTCCTGGATAAGGCCTCTGAAAAACTGCTCTGGCCTGACTTGCAAATCAGTGTCAAACACTTTTTAGTCTTTTCCTGTTACTCTCGCCTGATTCGTTCGTTCCCCCCCGTTGTTTCCCAGCATATTTCGTGCATTGAAATAATCAAAGGTAAAGTGGGATAAGGGTAAAGGAAAGGCAGGGATGAACAAAGGAAGAGAAGCACATTAATTCCAAACTACCCCTGTATGTATGGTCCCATTCATAAGATATTCTCCCCACCTCAATAAATATTCAGAGCCTGAGCATGAGCATAAGAAGAAAAACAAAAAACCTGTACTTGTGGAAGAGGATTAATACCAAAATACCTTTGTGCCCCTGAATCAACGCCTTCCCCCACCTTTGTGGGTTCCTTCTAGGCCAGACAGCCACTGACTCTAGGGCCCTCTTGGGCTTTTCTCTCACGGCTTCAGAAAGCAAAACACAGAGGAGGAAGGTACACCTGCTCTTAAGTGAACTCGGAGGTGGGGGCTCCCATAAAGGTCTCACCACTGCCCCTCTTCTAAAAGAAGGTAGACCTAGACTTCAAATCCTAGGCCTAGATTGCGCGTCTGAGCCAAGAGTCCTTTCTGCCACACTGCTTGTTTCTCATTCCAAAAGGTAGCTTGCTTTGGCATTGCGCTGTCTCTACAGGTTTCCAAAAGAGATGGCCTTTTCCACTCAGGACCCACATGGGGTCGTACAATCCTCCTCCTTTGGTGTCCCACAGCCAAGTGTCAGGTACCAGGTTCTAGCTCCTTTCCCAGTGTTCTGTCAGAAGAGGGGACCACTACCCATGTACTTCCTCAAGGCAGATCCCAGCTGCTCTCCTCAACGCCTCTTTTTCTCTCAGCCCTGCATCCTGCCTATGAATACCTGTGTTCTTTTCCCCTGAATATACAATGCTTTTGACTCTCCTTTCAAATAGGTGGGAGTTTGAGCTAGATTGGAAGTTCCAAGAAAGAAGGGCCCCTTTTTTTGGTCCTGTTCGCCGCTGTGTCCTCAGCACATAGCAGGCAATCTAGTTAGTAAATGGTTGAAGGAAGTGAGGGGCCATTTGAGTCGAGAATTCCTTGGTACCTGCTACTAGTTACAGATCAATGCTAATCTATAGGTGTGTCTTTGTTTTTGCTGCCTATAATCCCAGGGTTTAACCCAGAGTCTGCCACACAGGGGATATTCTCTATATGTTTTTTTTTCAATGGAGGAAGGGAGCAAGGATTTTTAAAAATATATTTTGGAAAGAATCCTGGGTTATCTTAATATCCCATATTGTAATGAACATTTTGGAGGATAGATGTAATTTGAAATCGATATTAGTGGTTTATTTGTTTTTCTTTTTCTGACTTCTATTTGTGTTTATAATTATGTCTTACTAAACTCCTTAATATATTAGCAAACCTCTGTGACTTCATAAGGAAAAGACCAATGAAAAAATACAAGGATATCTGAACAGACTGTTTACAAAAAAGACACATCATTGTTTTTTAAATATATGAGAAATGTTTAATTTCTCTGATAACAAATGCACATTATAATTACAATGATATATTGTTTTTCATCTATCAGATTGGCGAAGAGCAAAGTTTAAGACAGTTCTCTTGTGACCATATTCTTAATTGAATTTGTATGTTGTTTTAGGAATGTTCCTTATTCTCAAAATGACTCATCTTCTTTTCTATTGATTTATTTTCCTATTTAAATTGCTGGGAATGACTATTTTCCCTATCCAATAAAAGCTAGTAATTATAAGAAAATGAAAAAAAAAGGTACCACATATTCTAACACCTATAAATACTCCCAACATTTTGGTGCATGTACTTCCAGACTTTTATCAATGCCAATATGTGTGTGTGTATATAAACAAAGGGGAACCCCCCCAAAAAACAGTAATTGTCTTTTTTTTTTGTGGAAGGGCAGGTCCCTTGCAATGCCCTTGGGATTTGTTCCTCTGGATCAGTCAACTAAAGTTTTTATCTGGAAGTTTTGAGAAGGTTGCATCATGATTTGTGGAAGAAACATCCTGAGTTGTGGCAAACAGGTAATTGGTTCTTCTACCATGACACGGCACCAGCACACACCACAGTGAGTGTTCAGCAGTTTTTGACCAAAAGCCACATGACCCTATGCCCCATTCTCCCTATTCACCCAATCTCACCCTGAACGACTTTTTGGTATCCCTGATAAAAAAAAAAAAAGTCCTCAAAGGGAAATGTGGAAGATGACAGAAGTACTAACAGGCATCAAAACCGGTGAGTTCAAAAACTGTTTTGAGCAGTGGAAAAAAGTATCAATAGGTGTATTGCATCAAATGGATAGTACTTTGAAGGTAACTGCAATTTAAACATGTAAGAATAATACTTTGTCTGTTGGTTGCCCATATATCTTCTTTTGAGAAGTGTCTATTCATGTCTTTTGCCCACTTTTTATAGGGACTTTTTCCTTTCAGCGCGTTTGAGTTCCTTGTAGATCCTAGATGTTAGGCCTTTGTCAGATATACAGTTGGCAAATATTGTTTTCCCATTCTGTGGGCTGTCTCCCTGCTCTCTTGATGGTTTCTTTTGCTTTGCGGAAGCTCATTAGTTTGATGAGGTCCCACTTGTCTATCTTATTTCTTAAGGTATAGGCCTTTAGGGTTCTGAATAGGAATTGGTTGCCAGTTCCAATTTCCATAAGGGTGTCTCCTGCGTTTTCTAAGATTCTGATAGTTTGAGGTTTTACGTTTAGGTCTTTGATCCATTTAGAGTTAATTTTTGTGTATGGTGATAGGTAGGGGTCCTGTTATCAATCTTCTGCATGTGGTCAGTCAGTTTTCCCAGCACCATTTACTGAGTAGGTTCTCCTCTCCCCAGTGGTTGTTGTTGGAGGCTTTGTCAAA